GGCATCACCAACTCAATATATGTGAGTTTGAGTAAGCTCCAGGAGTTGATGAGGGGCAGGGAAGCCTGGTGTGCTGCAGTCCATGGGGTTGCAAAGAGTGGGAAATGGCTGAGAGACTGAACTGAAGTGATTCCTGTGAATATCTGGGAAAAGCATTCCAGGCCAAGGGAACAAAGTTAGAAGGCCACCCAGGTGCTAGCCAGGAGAAGGATGGTGGTCGCTAGAACCAGGGCGGGCAGTGGGGCAGGAGAAGAGAAGAGCACGGGTCTGTTGCAAGTAGAGCCAGAGCACCTGCCTGAGGGATGGGAGTGGGGTCCGACAGAAGGATCAGACGTGGCCACCTGGAAACAAGACAAAGGACACCCTGCAACACCAGTCCCGGCAGTCTGCACTCAGCCCAGCCGCCGGGGAAGGCTCTTCTGCTCCGCACCCGTGTATGAACGTGAGAGGGCTACAGCAGGGTCCTGTGGGATCTCAGGCCAGGCTGCAAGAAGTGGGGTCTACAGTAATGAGGCGCCAGACAAGATGCTTCCCCAGGGACAGGTATCCAAGGAGATGGTAGCAAAATCACGCACAGTCAGAGAGGAAATCCAGAGATGATTTGAGGTACAAACAGGAAAGCAGAGAAGTGGGACTGGAGGCCGGGAGGGCAACCACCGAGGACAGGTTTTAAAATATATGAAGTGTTTTCTCATATTCACTGAACTGCCCTTGAATCCCACCCGAGGTAGGAAAAAAGAGAACATCTTGTCCGGTGGGTGCAGGATGACAGACTTTCAGAAACATCTCATGGTATGAGTCGGGACATCTCCCTTTTTTAGGTCAGAGGAAAGGGGACAAGTGATTGGTGTTCTGGGATCATTCAGTGTCTTCTGTGTATCTGTCTGTCTCTCCACGGAGGTGCATTTACCAAAAACAAAAAATAACCCCAATCATTCACTGTCAGTGTGTGTGTGTGTGTGTGTGGTGCATTTACCAAAAACAAAAAATAACCCCAATCATTCACTGTCAGTGTGTGTGTGTGTGTGTGTGTGGTGCATTTACCAAAAACAAAAAATAACCCCAATCATTCACTGTCAGTGTGTGTGTGTGTGTGTGTGTGTATGTGGTGCATTTACCAAAAACAAAAAATAACCCCAATCATTCAGTGTCACTGTGTGTGTGTGTGTCTCTCCACTGAGGTGCATTTAACAAAACCAAAAAATAACCCCAAACTGAAATGTTATAAATGACGGTACAGTGTCAGCATCAGCTCAAAAGAATACAAGTGTGCTCCTGAGCTGGGTGACAGAATTTGTTAAAAAAAAAAAAAAGCCTCCCCATCCACCCCCTTCTAGGCAACCACACAAGAAAGAAACCAACTTTGTTCTTTATTTTAAATGAAAGCCCAAATGCTTCACCCACCTATTTTTAAAATTTAAAACAGAAAACACCATTCCGCAAATGTGTCTCAGGCACTCATGTTTGCATCTTCTTGCTGGTGCCTCTCCGCTGCCAACCTCCTTGCTCTCAGAGTCCCCCTGAGACTCCTGTCAAAACCTACCCATGCGTGCTCCCAGCTCTCATCCCTCCAGCCTTGCTCCAGGGGAGGCAGCCCATCCGCTCTCAGCAAAGCCCACAGAAGCCGCCGTCAGTCAGCCCTGCCTGCTGGGGGCCCTCTGAGACTGCTGCACGGAGGGGATTCTCGTCCTTAACCTTCCCAGAGGCCCCCATCTCATCTTAACAACTTCTCCATTGAACTGGGGCCGGAACCTCTTCAACTGATACACGTTGATTCCATAACGGCCCTAGGGACTTGGAGACATTCCGTTCACCTGCCAGTTTAAAGGGCTTCCCTGGTAGTTCAGATGGTAAAGAATCCACTTACAACATAGGAGACCTGGGTTCGGTTCCTGGGTCAGGAACATCCCCTGGAGGAGAGCATGGCAACCCACTCCAGTATTGCCTGCAGAATCCCCATGGACAGAGGAGCCTGGTGGGCTACAGTCCATGGGGTCGCAAAGAGACACGACTGAGTTTAAAATCCGTTTAAATTTTAAACTGAGTTTAAAATCAGCTTCCCGAGAGTGTTCTCAAACTGGATTGTGAGGAAGAGTGCACCACTCTGTACATTTATGGGGGAAAAAAAATCACTAAACTGTATACTTAAAATAGGTGAATTTCGGACTTCCCTGACAGTCCAGTAACTAAGATTTCATGCTCCCAATGCAGGAGGCACAGGTTCGATCCCCAGTGGGGGGAGATCCCACATGCTGTGTGGTGTGGCAAAAAAAAAAAAAAAAAAGCTAATTTCATGGTATGCAAATTATACTTTAATAAAGATATTTAAAAATCAGTGTCCACATCTTTGCAGGTGTTTCTGTTCATTGCCAGACCCAAGGAGGGACCTGGGGCCCCTGCATATGGACAATCTCTCTCCCCGTGTGGTTCAGAGAGGCTGGAACAGAGAGGCTCTGAAGGCAAGGCTGGAGCCACAGTTCTGGTGAGCAGAGGTGCCTTGTGGAGAAGGGGCCCCCCTGAGGGCAGGATTCCAGACAGCAGTGGGAAGGGAGGGGCCAACACAGGAAGGTGGCAAACTACGCAGTATGATGGGGTGATGGGGTGACACAGTGGGGGAGGAAGACGTGTTTAGCACTAGACTGACTCATAAACGTTAGTCACTCAATCGTGTCCAACTCTGCAACCTCATGGACTGTAGCCCACCAGGCTCCTCTGTCCACGGGGATTCTCCAGGCAAGTGGGTTGCCATTCCCTTCTCCAGGGGATCTTCCCGACCCAGGGATCAAACCCGGGTCTCCTGCATTGCAGGCAGATTTTTCACAATCTGAGCCACCAGATTAACTCATACGTCACTGTCATTTTTGTAGGTCAAAATGGTTAGGCTCTGGCAATTGCCTGACACTTGTTCATGTGTGATATGGACCAGAGCTCAGGCCCAGGGTTTAGGTGGAACAAACTCCCACTCAAACTCCCCTCTGCGCATGGGTTAAGTGGCTGAGGGCTTGTCACTTCAACCCTGTGACCTGCCGTTCTCTCATCTATAAATGCAAAAGCACGGCCACACCCCAGGAGCACATTTTCACTTCCGCTTTTAAATACACGTCCGGTGCCTAGCACACGGTGGGTCACCGAGGGCTCAAGTAGGAGCCTTCTTTCCTGCTCCTCCGCTCTCCTCTCCTCATCTGACAACACTGTCTCTAGAGCAGGTGGAACAGCAGGACTACGCCCGAACCACCAACCTCTCTGGGCACCTCTCTCTTAACACCAGTCCCCCAAATAAGGCAGGACAAGCAGCACAGTTCTGCTAAGCAAGGCAGACCCTCATTTTCCTCATGTTACTGTCCCCGGTGCCCGGTGCCGCATCTGGCCTCCTCTACCTGGTGGTTTAGTCGTAAGTCGTGTCCGACTCGTGTGACCCCATGGACTGTAACCTGCCGGGCTCCTCTGTCCATGGGGTTCTCCAGGAAAGAATACTGGAGTGGATTGCCATTTCCTTCTACCTGGGGGAACCATGAAATAAATCCAGAAAACAAATGGGGAGAGCAGAGCCGGGGGAGCGCAGACCAAGGGTTCCCTGTTACTAACACGTCAAGTAGAGAAGGGCATTGCTGCCAGGTGGGTCTGGGTGTATCCTGAAGAACCAATGTGATGCTCATGGGCCCGTGGCACTGGAGACGAACAGGAGATCAAAGAAACCCTTTCCTTTGGCTCTCGCAGAGAACAGGGGAGTGGGGGTCCCAGAAGGACCCCTCCCCATGAGCAAAGCGATTTCATGCTCAGCTTCCCTTGACCCAGTGCCCCCAGAAGCTGCTGCTGCTGCCGGCCTCAGGGCCAGGGCTCCTCCATGAGGAACATCCTCGGCGGGTCACAAGGTGCACCTCTCCTCTGCGCGCCAGACGGCCTGCGCCCACGAGGACAGGAGCGAGGATGATCAGGCTCCCGTGAGCGCAGGGCGAGGAGGTATCCACAGAGGGAAGCTTCAGCTCCTCCTGCGAAAGCCTCTCATGGTGGGATCCTTCCCGCATGGCCTGACCCCACATCCAGTCCAGGAGGCTCAACAAGGTCTCCACGGGAACCAGGGGAGTCCCAGCCAGCAGGCACATCTGTCCCTGGGGCCCACAGGTTTCCATCCACGAGCCGCAGGTGCAGGTCAACGCACAAGACCTTGGAGGGGAAGAAAGTCAGCACCCCATTTAACTTACAGAGTGTGTTAACTGTCAGGCTGGAACTAAGCTCTGGCTTTCTGTAAGGTGTCCGGGAGGACATTTCAGTCTTTTAAAGTCATACCAAGTGTCCAAGACCAGGACTTAGGACCTTACCCACCCAGGCCCCAGAGACTAGCGGGAGATGTGAGAACAGGTGGTCCCAGTGAAATGTACACAGGGAAATAAAGCAGCACAGGATGCCAGCGGAAGGGACATTAGTTCCCTCCAAAGATTCTTTCCCAGGTGGCTCAGAGGGTAAAGGATCTGCCTTCAAGGCAGGAGAACTGGGTTCGATCCCTGGGTCGGGAAGATCCTCTGAAGATGGGCATGGCAACCCACTCCTGTATTCGTGCCTGGAGAACCCCCACGGACAGAGGAGCCTGGCTACATTCCATGGGGTCGAAAAGAGTCAGACACGACTGAGCGACCAACACTTTCCCTTTCAAAGATTTTTTCTTGCTAATAGGGACCACACCCCATGATGGGACGAGGAGAAACCCCTGGGCAGCTGGGGTGTGGGGGGGCACCATATTACTTAAGCCCCGAATAGCAAGGAAGCAGTGGCCTCACCTGCCTTGGGACTCCATCTGAGGGGTCGTGAGGATATAGTCTTAAGGAAGAAATGTGCTCTTGGCGTAAAGCCTTGGGTTTATAAGCCCACCCTTTACAATCACACCCAAACGAGCACGTGTTTTCACTGTGCTGGCTCCAGGCTGGCAGCCAGAGCCCTGCCTCCAACAGCTGCCCCAGGGCACAGCCCAGGCTCCATGGGGGGCAAGGGCAGCCTCCACTCACCAGACAGCGGGTCTTTGCCAATCATCAAGACATTAGGCAAATTCATGACGATCAGCTGCTGGAGAACTTCCTACGGAAACAAAGGGGAAAGGATACCATTAAGAACAGAAAACAAAGTAAAGACTGATTAAGAAAATTATAGTGTACCAAGTCACTGGAGGAGTGTGCAGCCATGATGAAAACAGTTGCTATGAAAACACTATATATATATAATAGGAAGGAAAATGTAAGATATAAATAAATGAAAAGTCAAAACACCTAACTGTGCTTCTGCCTTGATTATTACTAAACAAAAATTATGTCTGCACGTGTACAGAGACTTTAGGGGAAAAGAAGATATATTAGATGCCACATTAGTAGGACTAGCAGTAAGTTTCTTTTAAAGGATGTCTTTATTTTTATTGTATGATTTGCTTGCGCAACTAAAAACTGCAGAATAAACATGAAAAGGGCTTCCCTTGTGGCTCAGCTGGTAAAGAATCTGCCTGCAATGCAGGAGACCTTGGTTTGATCCCTGGGTTGGAAAGATCCCCTGGAGAAGGGAAAGGCTACCCACTCCCGTATTCTGGCCTGGAGAATTCCATGGACTGCGCATGGGGTCGCAAAGAGTTAGACACGACTGAGTGACTTTCAGTTTCACTTTGAAACATGAAGAGAGATGTTACCGAGTCTTCACAAGCTGACAATGCAGGACTGGCAGTCAGCAGGTCTTTGGTACAAGCTGTAAATAAGGAGATTTCCCTTTTTTCCGCAGTGACTTCTCTGTTGCTGTTGTCCGGTCACTCAGTCGTGTCCGACTCTCTGTGACCCCATGGACTGGAGCGCGCAGTCCTTCCCCGGGGGAGGGATAAGTCAGAGCTAATCTTCAGCCCCCACCCCCACCCCGCCCAGAGACATGGCAGACAGGAAATGCCCGGCCTCCTGCCCTCACGCCAAGGGCCCCTGAAAGAAGACCCAGGCACCAGCCATCGACATGCCCCCTCTCGTGGGGGTTTTAACAAGTTCCCCTCCAAGTGTGCTGGCCCACCGCTCACATTTTCCAGGGTATTTCTCGCAGTATTTCTGGGCAGGGTGGTCTTCCCTGCCCAGATGTGCCTTGTTTCTCACAAACCCAGAAGATAAAATATCTAATTCTACAGAAGACAAGCAAGGCAGTAGGATTCAGTAATATTCTCGGTCTTGCAAAAGTGGTCACCATAGACACTCTTGACCAACAAAGCTCCGCTTACACCTTAAAAAGAAAGTTTCCATTGAGAGACAACCTTTTTTCCCAGCAGTCACTACTGCACGGTGTGAGGACTCTCTGAACTCAGGACGCTGCCAACCAGCGCTGATGAATAAAAGGGGACAGTGAACACAATCGGCTAATCCCGCAGGGCCCAGCTGATCACCTCAGAGCTCTCTGAATCCTCAGATGGGAATGGCGGCCTTGGCAAGCTCACCAGGAGAGGCCGACACCTTCACAGTGTCAGCCACAGACTGGTGCTTGCCATCGACCTCTACAAGGATTAAATCCTACGCTGCTGCAGCTGATTTCCAACACCCCCTGAAAGGCGTTCGGGGTGGCGGGGAGAAGGGAGGCACTCTGTGCTTGGGGGAGAAACTGGCAGGACGGGTCTTCAAATAATTAGGTATTTTCAGGAGCTGATTTTCTGAGCCCAATTCTTGTATCTCCCCATGTCCAGAAAAGCACAAAAATTCTTCATGGTGACAACCGTTCCTCATGACTAGCAGAACGCTTCACCAGACGAGGAGAAGCCTTCTGGAAAAATATGTGCTTGACTGCGTGTATTCCCCCTTCACCCAAATCATGTATACACTGACCTCCCCCGCCTCTTGGGAGCAGCTTCTCAGAGCTATCTGAGGTGCTGTCTCCTGGGCTGCAGTCCTCATTCTGCCCCAGGTAAAATTTAATTCTCAGACTCAGTGTGTGTTTTTTGACAGCAGAATGTACAAAATGATCTGCTCCACCCTCCTTATTATCTTTCCACGGCTCCCACCACACCAGAAATTGAGGAGGTGTACCCCACTCCCAAACACTCCGGGCCCGTCTGTGCTCAGTGTTGGAGGACATCTTTCTTTACTATCTGAGGTCGCATGTCGCTGCATCTGAGACGGCCAGTGTTTTCTCAAGCCAAGTCTCAGTGCTGGGCAGAGTCTGAGTTGTGTAACAGCCTCAGCCTTCCTTCAGGGCTGGGAAAAGTCAACGCAGTTTCTCAACTGGATGTGCTCACCAAAGGATTCCGCAGTAGCACCCTCAGGCAAAACGCACACAGCCAGGAAAATCAGATAAATCCACTTCCAGCAAAAGGAAGGACTCCCAGCCAAGTCAGCCGTTCTGTCACGGCTTCCCTGGTGGCTCAGGCAGTAAAGAATCTGTCTGTAATGCAACAGCCCCGGTTCGACTCCTGGATCAGGAAGATCCCCTGGAGAAGGAAATGGCAACCCACTCCAGTATACAGTCCATGGTGTTGCCAAGAGTCAGACCGACTTAGGGATTAAACCACCAAGAACTGCTGCTGCTGCTGCTAAGTCGCTTCAGTCGTGTCCGACTCTTTGCGACCCCATGGACTGCAGCCTACCAGGCTCCTCCGTCCCTGGGATTTTCCAGGCAAGAGTACTGGAGTGGGTTGCCATTGCCTTCTCTGCCAAGAACTGCTAAGTCACATCAAAACTAAGTCACTTTAACTTGGGGACATTCAATAAACAATAGCATTGCTAGCAATGTCATGGAGTCCCTATCTGGTCTCAATGCTAAACTCAAGTGCTCAGCCCAGCTTCTAGAAGATTTCCTTGTTATCACTGTCAACCAACTACATTCCCTTCTGGAGTCTTGGCTGGTTTCCACTCTGCTGTGGCGCAAGTGTCTGGAGCACCAGCCCTATTATCAGGGTGCTTGAAGAGGGTACACATGTTTATAAAGGAAATTTGTTGCTGTTCAGTTGCTCAGTTGTGTCCGACTCTTTGACCCCATGGACTGCCACACCCCAGGCTTCCCTGTCCTTCAATATTTCCTAGAGTTTGCTCAAACTCATGTGCATTGAGTTGATGATGCCATCCAACCATCTCATCCTCTGTCAGCCCCTTCTCCTGCCTTCAATCTTTCCCAGCATCAGGGTCTTTTCTGAGTTGGCTCTTCGTGTCAAGTGGCCAAAGTATTGGAGCTTTGGCTTCAACATCAGTCCTTCCAAAGAATATTTAGGACTGATTTTCTTTAGAATTGGCTGGTTTGATCTCCTTGCTACCCAAGGGACTCTCAAGAGTCTTCTCCAACACCACCATTCAAAAACATCCATTGTTTGGCACTCAGCCTTTTTTATGGTCCAACTCTCGCATCCATACTTGACTACTGACTGCATAAACCATAGCTTTGACTAAACGGACCTTTGTTGGCAAAGTGATGTCTCTGCTTTTTAATAAGTTGTCTTTTCTTCCAAAGAGCAAGCGTCTTCTAATTTCATGGCTGCAGTCACCATCTGCAGTGATTTTGGAGCCCAAAAAATCAAAGTCCGTCACTGTTTCCATTGTTTTCCCATCTATTTGCCATGAAGTGATGGGACCGGATGCCGTGATCTTAGTTTTTTGATGCTGAGTTTTAAGGCAGCTTTTTCACTGTCCTCTTTCACTTCATCAAGAGGCTTTTTAGTTCCCCTTCACTTTCTGCCATTAGGCTGGTGTCATCTGCATATCTGAAATTACTGATATTTCTCCTGGCAATCTTGATTTCAGCTTGAGCTTCATGCAGGCTGGCATCCTTCATGATGTACTCTGCATATAAGTTAAATAAACAGGGTGACAATATACAGCCTTGACATACTCCTTTTCTGATTTGGAACCAGTCTGTTGTTCCATGTTCGGTTCTAACTGTTGCATCTTGATCTACACACAGGTTTCTCAGGAAGCAGGTCTGGTGGTCTGGTATTCCCATCTCTTTAAGAATTTTCCACAGTTTGTTATGAAGCAGATACAGAATGTGAAACCATCTTGAAGGTCTCCACAATAATGTAAAGCTGAATTATTATGCTAATGATAACCCAAGCAAAAGACTTCTGGAAACACTGCTGGAAAATACTGCTGGGAAAACCATGTATTCTCCTTCTAAAACTAGATGTTTAATTTTATCTAATCTGGGCTTTCTAATTTTCCCACAACATGTATCACTTGCACAGTTAGGAAGTAATGTTTCATGAACAATGTTTTATTGATGTATTCCTTTCAAAACCTCATGGGTCTCCTAAGATTTAATCCTGTGGCCCAAAATACCCCTAAGATCTTAACTGTTCCCCTCAAAGGACCAATAATTGTATTCCAGCAAAAACAGCCTTGGAGGTTTGAGTACCACGGGGGGAGAACTGTCTAGCAGAAATACATGGGAAACATTCATTTCGAATGTTCCGTATACCTGAGGCTGACTGATGTTGATGTATGGCAGAGGCCAACACAATATTGTAAAGCTATTATCCCCCAATTTAAAAAAAGAAAAGTCAAAGAAACAAATGACAACATACAAATAATATACCTTAATTAAACCAACATTTCCAAAATATTATTGTTTCACCACCGAATCAACATACACCATGAAAGAGATGATTTCACACTTTTTTTCACACTAAGTCTTTGAAATCCACTGTGTAGTTTACACTCACAGCACATCGGAATCTGAATGCCGAACTGTCATTGGAAACAGGATCTGAATAAGTAGATTCGCATACCCAAGTTGTTCCAAACACACTTAGAATTCTTCCAATAACTGAATCCAGGATCGGTTTTTCAATCTAAGTACATGAAAAATTCACTTCCTCTGTCACACACCAGCCACATTCTGGAGGCCGCGCCAGCCACACGTGGCTAGTGGCCGTCATGCTCCACAACACCGGAGACAGGGGAGCTAAGCAAAGGCGTCTCCTCGGGATGGGGGGGCCTCCAGGGCGACGGGCCAGGCCCTCATCTAGTGGGGATGTGAGGAGGCTGCTGACGACTGGACCCTCCCGCCCGCTACTCAGAACAGAAGGCCACTGTGGAGACTGCAGCTGACGCTGGCCGGCTGGGCGGGCGATGGTCACACCCCCG